TGCATGTAAACAATGCGTGAACGTTAGCACAGATGACGGGTGGATCTACCTCAATAGATGACAAGGTTACTGAAAATGACATGTACTTATTTTGTAAATCAATTGTTTAGTGCCTTAGGATCATGTTAAAAGCTGTAAAGGTATACTTTGTTACTTATTAATTCAGAGCACACTCCGGCAGTCCAACGCTCAAACCTGTATCGACGGTGAAACTACCAAACCACGTATCTCGGTTTGCGACGTCGCAGACTTCCTGTCATACTTCATTTTTTAAATGAAAAACTACTTAACCTCCAGTCTTGAAAATTTCTGTGATTTTTCCTCTTCGTGCGGAGAAAATTCTGTGAAAATTACAAGGAATGATATTGATTTGGTCTACTTAAAAAAAATAAAATGCGAGCGTAGATTTTTAAACACCGCAAACGAGATACGTGGTTTGGTAGTTTCACCGTCGGTATGTAGCTAGTCAATTGTTATTTCTTACTATTTCACCCTTTAATGCTTCACTGAAGACACCAAAATGATAGTATCAATCATTGATGATGAAAAAAACTTACCTTTGACAATACTGATGAGATGAGGAGACCGGTATGTTTTAGCTGGAGGCAAGGAAAGTAGACGTAGGATCCAGGGATCCTTCTTCGGTTACCAGACTTTATCGATAAATGTTTCTGTATAGTGTTACATTTTAAAACACACAGGATTTTAAAATAACATACGTTTATAAAACGTGGGAACGTTCTGAATGATATTGAGGTGTTTGTTGAAGAGTTAAGAATGATTTACACGCATTGAGGAACATCCATGGTTTGAGCGTTGGACTGCCGGAGTGTGTTCTGAATTAATAAGTAACAAAGTACCTATACCTTTACAGCTTTTAACATGATCCTAAGGCACTAAACAGTTGATTTACAATATAAACTTACCTTCAAATAGTGACAAAAAAGTAAAAACTCATGAAAATGGCCAAATATTGAGCTAATGTCCATGTCTGTTATCACTAAGCAGATGTAAACAAAATCCCCATTGACTACGACAGTCTTCCTTAAAAATAGGGTTTATGCCGTCGGTTCTTATTTATCCAATGAAGGTTTTAACCATTTAAACGTACGAGGAATCCATTTCTGATTTCCATTTTGATCAAAAAATTATCGATTGACTCGATATTTGCATTTGAAAAGCGGCTGTCATTTCCTCACGGGAAAATACATTGTAAGTGATGAAGAAACCATATGGCTGTCGAACCATTTCACGTCACAAGCACAGAATATATAGGCTCCACCAATCACAAGTATGGCGGTTGAAAAACGACCGTTTTGAATGGATCGGTTCCAAAAACAGCTTTTTTTGAGTTTGAGAGGTCATTTCAAGGTTTTTTAGTAGCGCCATCGTTCTTTTCGTGAAATTTGCCATAAGAATCAGGCATCAATTTGCAAATCCCCGCACCTTGCAACAAGCCCATTGGTTCGGAATTTGATGGTCTATCCAGGGTTATATAATGTCAGTCCTGAACTCCACATACGTCCCGGTGACAAATACATAATGTTGTCTTGGATACATAATATTTTGATTTAAATGCATTTAAGTGAATGAAGCTGGCAAATGAGGACAGTAACTTCCCTAAGCCGACCAGAATCAAGTAAATGATGCCAATCCGTCCAGTGGCAAGGTGTGAATTATCTGCTATCTATATTAATCATTTGAAGCTATGGCAAAGAATCGATTATTAAGGTGTTCGTTGCGAACATCCTGTTTATCGATCATTTTTCATAGGTTCAACAGGCAGCTCAATCGATAAATCGCAAAGCACGCCACGCCACTGAATTCGTCGCCTCCCACACTAAGGCACTCCAACTTGTTTTCTGCAACTCCATTGCAAAACAGTTGGTTGCAATATCTACAAAAACAATTCAGTTTATCCAAGGATATGCTCAAGTGCAATTTCATTTATAAATGTAGCTTCTTTTTGCGTGCAATCACGGGAAAAATCATCCAGAAACGCCAAACCTCTCATCAGTAAAATTAATATTTGCTAGTTTTTACAACGTTCGCATGCAGTTACGCTCTTTCATGTCGGGAACTACAAAAGGAAAGAGGGACAACCACCATTGTTCCAAATTAACAAATTTTATATTTAAATATCTTAAGTATATACAACGAAAAAGAAGTTATTAATATACACTGTATAAATATCTCTACTGGCAATTCAAAGGAAAATTATCAATGTGAGGCTGTTGAAGAAAATTGGTAAAAATGTGGTGCTAGATTGCATCAAGCTGAGGAATAAGTCCTTTCGAGGAAGTGCAGGACTTAATGATACTTTTTACGTTGTGCACTTTAAGTTAAATGGAAAATATCGTAAAATAGATGAAATTACCTATTCACAAAAAGCTATCTTACAATGCATGTTACAATGGGAAAACGGATCATATACAGAGTTATTCAAAAGTTACGCACCACTGGCCATAACTTTAGTTCTAATTATGATATCGATTTGCGGTTTGTGGCGTCCTTCCTCATATCGAGGGGGAAACTTTTTGAGGTACTTTTCAGTTCTTCACCCCCCCCCAGGGGGAGGGGGGCGGGGGGCAACTCAAAAATTTCAAATGGCAACCCCAATCATGTGATACATCGTTAGAAAGAGCATGAAAAAAGAAAATTTTTGGCGCAAACCGGAAGTCGATCTGACCCCCCTGTCAAAAGTTAGGGGGGTCCAAAGGTTATTTAGGGGGTCCGTACCTTCATTTTTTAGAGTAGCTTCGGCGGCTCTTGGACATACCGTTTCTCTTTTCAAAGAGTCCTCGAATACTCCAAGTCTGATACCGAAGTCTTCATATTGCCCCCGGGCCACCACAGCCCCCCCGTAGGGGGGGATGGGCCTGTTACAATGAAACATTGCATTAAAATGCGAAAAGTCACAGAAGAGCTTCAAACTTAGCATCAAATCCGAGTGGAACTTCTTGCCAATGTTAACGCAAACGCAGCCTGCGACTTTAAAGTGAGTTTTCAAAACTCTTAGCCCCCTGCCCCCCCTCATTTTTGGTTGCAGAGCGGGTAAAAACCGGGAAATTCACTACAAATAATGCCCGAAACTAATGTCCAACTTGAGGAGGACCCTTGAAACGTTGCGATCAGTCGGAGCATTGAAATACAAGGACTGCCACCCCCTTAAAGTACGGAAACATCCAAAACACCCCCGCTGCCCCCCTCATTTTTCGTTGCGGAGCGGGTAAAAACCGGGAAAATCGCCAGAAATGATGCCCGAAACCACTGTAGAACTTGACGAGAACCCTTGAAACGTTGCGCTCAGTCGGAGAACTGCAACACAGGAACTGCCGCCCACTTTAAGGACGGAAACATCCATAAAACCCCCGCTGCCCCCCTCTTTTTTCGTTGCAGAGCTGGTAAGAACCGGGGCATCATTTCTGGCGATTTTCCCGGTTTTTACCCGCTCCGCAACGAAAAATGAGGGGGGCAGCGGGGGTGTTTTGGATGTTTCCGTACTTTAAGGGGGTGGCAGTCCTTGTATTTCAATGCTCCGACTGATCGCAACGTTTCAAGGGTCCTCCTCAAGTTGGACATTAGTTTCGGGCATTATTTGTAGTGAATTTCCCGGTTTTTACCCGCTCTGCAACCAAAAATGAGGGGGGGCAGGGGGCTAAGAGTTTTGAAAACTCACTTTAAAGTCGCAGGCTGCGTTTGCGTTAACATTGGCAAGAAGTTCCACTCGGATTTGATGCTAAGTTTGAAGCTCTTCTGTGACTTTTCGCATTTTAATGCAATGTTTCATTGTAACAGGCCCATCCCCCCCTACGGGGGGGCTGTGGTGGCCCGGGGGCAATATGAAGACTTCGGTATCAGACTTGGAGTATTCGAGGACTCTTTGAAAAGAGAAACGGTATGTCCAAGAGCCGCCGAAGCTACTCTAAAAAATGAGGGTACGGACCCCCTAAACAACCTTTGGACCCCCCTAACTTTTGACAGGGGGGTCAGATCGACTTCCAGTTTGCGCCAAAAATTTTCTTATTTCATGCTCTTTCTAACGATGTATCACATGATGGGGGTTGCCATTTGAAATTTTTGAGTTGCCCCCCGCCCCCCTCCCCCTGGGGGGGGAGGGGGTGAAGAACTGAAAAGTACCTCAAAAAGTTTCCCCCTCGATATGAGGAAGGACGCCACAAACCGCAAATCGATATCACAATTAGAACTAAAGTTATGGCCAGTGGTGCGTAACTTTTGGATGACCCTGTATAAGCTTTTGTCCTTGTGTAAGATTCTTCATCACACTCAATTTCAACTCAATATTACAGGATTTCTCTTATTTTTTACCTGTCATCTGTTAATTAGGTTGAGTCCGGATTCCGTCCCGAAGACTCCGAATTGCGTCCGGCGGGACTCTCCGAACTGCGTCCCAGATCACGTCCATTTAATTCTTAAGGAAAAGGTGTAAATGACAACGCTGCTCACCTTTTTCTCATGTTGATACCAATGTCCGGAAAGCAGAATAAAATAAATAGGAATAGAGCGGTGAATGGTAGGCTTCGGTTGACATAAAGTTCCCATATTACAAAAACTGTTTGGCGAATGGTGATCAAGAGAGTCTCGTCTTAAACTGGAAAAGCGAATCATCCAGGGTGTAAAGGGCCCTTTTGTCTCTGTAGTTTCACTTGAAAAATTACTTTCTTACTGGAAAAAAATGTCTGCTGCTGCTTTCTTTCAGAGTTGCTGACTTTTGGTCCAAAACGTTGTCGTCAAGTTTTTTGGTGATTGTGTTTCGTATTAGATTTAATAATTTAGCCATCGATACTAACTTTTAAAAAACACCGGGAATTTTTCACTGAACATGTTCGATCATTATCGATTGACATCGCCTTTCAAATGCGGTGTTGCCACCTTCCCGATGTATGCGCCGGACGCATTTCGGATAGAGCTCGGGACGCAATTTGGAATGTCCAGGGACGCAATTCGGATACAGCCGTTAATTAGAGACACTTTGATCGACGTAAATTCAAAATAGATCCACATAGAATTTTCGAGAAATGCGGTTGGATCATCCGTCTTCCTCAGCTTGAATAATCGAGATCCTCATCCTCACCGTCATTCGTGGCCATCATGATGATGATAATCATTATCATCATCATCATCATCATCATCATTTTTATCTTTGTCAAAATAGGTTAAATTTTTAAACTGGTGAGGTAATTCTCCGTTCACTCGATATGCATCGTAACTGTAATCATCACTACCCGTTGATGAGTTTTGTCTCCATTCTGCGATAAAAAAGTTTATTGCGATTGGATCTCCTAACTTGTATTTGTTCGCAAATTTTCTCGTTGAAAAGTGTCCCCTTGAAGTATTGTTTCGTCTGTAGGGGAGAGCAAAAGCAGGGTTGCGTCATCACATTCTGATAATTAATAAACATCTAAGTAATAAACACACTCGTTGTCTCATCAACTTGCAACGCTGAACATAGCCAACACTAAATAAGTAAAACAGAAAACAACCACGCACTATTTCCTGGAAATTATATTTATATCGTAAGAATGTGTCTTGGATAAAAAACTGAGATAAACCACTAACTCATCATTTCGCTTCTTTTTACCCTTCGGAGTATTAAATATCTACAAATTAAAACAAAAAAAGGTATAATATGAAATATACCTACTCATGCTTCAAAACTGGTTCGTTGAATGTTAAATTTCCCGGCTGTTTGAATATGAGAAAAATATATCTGTGGAATCCTGCAAGAATAAAATTGAGATTTTGGATCAATGGTATGGATAGTGATCGTTTTGTTGCCCTCAAGTCGATTAGCATACCCTTAAAAAGTAGCACTCCACATTCAGGAAGCTCAGGCACATTATGACGCCGACACTCGCACAAACAAGGATTATTACCTCGGCTGCTTGTACAAACACTTTTGATGATAGGGCAATCTTTTAAGCGCTCAGCCGATAGGCAGCGTTTTTTGATTTCGACTTGCCTCTAGAGTACTAGTATACTAGTGCTAATTCGTTTAAATGGCGCACCAGCTCATCGATGTGTAGGCTTTTTGGGGGGGGGGTCCAGTTTTAAAATAAATAAAGCTGTGAAAACAGTATTTTACGCTTTTAACGTAATGCGCAGGTAGTTTCGATCGTTTTTCTATAAGAAAATTTCTTAGCGGTAGAGTAATTCTTATCGAAATTGATCGTTGAACTCAAATGAGGCCAAAAAAAATCCGCCTGATGAGCTCAACGGTGACTATCATTTTCGGGAAACGAAAAAACGCGTTTACGGTTTCCTTGGTAACCTTTGTTTGCTATCAGCTGATGTTTTATTTCCATTACCCAGCCAAGTCGACGGAGTCTATACTTCCTTTCTTCACTAAATACATTGAATAACACCTGAGCGCTTTTCTAATACGACAGTATTAGAACTTTCGCGCTTGTTTTTTTTCTTTTGCTCGATTAGACATTTTTCTAAGCAAACAATTCGAATGAAAATACCATGAAAAGTGGAAAGAGGTTTTTTTTTTTTTTTTTTTTTAAATCAATACCTATTGACTGGAGAAGCAGATTAGTATTGCATCTTGTTTAAATCGAACCTGTGCCCTCCAGAGGATCCGGTCCTACATATTTTACAAGTGTATCCCCGAACAGCATCAACGGATACGCCGGCATGTTCACGAACATCCAGTGATTCCATTCTCGCAACGTGTGGTTTTTCCTGGATGGTACGTCAGGATCTATGAGAGAAAAAAGAATGCAGATGCATATCGACGGTGAAACTACCAAACCACGTATCTCGTTTGCGGTGTTTAAAAATCTACGCTCACATTTTATTTTTTTGAAGTAGACCAAATCAATATCATTCCTTGAAATTTTCACGGAATTTTCTCCGCACAAAGAGGAAAAATCACAGAAATTTTCAAGACTGGATGTTAAGTATAGTTTTTCACTTAAAAAATAAAGTATGACAGGAAGTCTGCGACGTCGCAAACCGAGATACGTGGTTTGGTAGTTTCATCGTCGATAATTACTTGGCCCATTCAAGGGTATTTTGCCATGAGCATCTAGAGTTTTAAATAGTATCGTCTAAACCCAGCCTCCACCTCGTAAATTTACACCACAGGAAATCCTTCAAACTAATACACTGGCTCGCCTCATTGCATAATGCAATTGAAAAAAGAAAAAAAGCAAGATGAATTTCTGAGAATTATTGGTTAAAATTTTGGCTGCAAATTTTTCGAGGCCGTTTCCCTTTATACTGAGAAGACCCAGACCCTTCCCAGGAAAGTGGAGGTTAAACCATCCTTAGAAAATTGCTCTAGCTACGCATATGGTCGCTGCTAATCTATCTCTTGTATTGGAATATGCTCTTGTCGATCAACAAGTTTGCCTTAAAAAAAAATTTAACAGATACCGGCAGACATTTTCAACCGGTCAGAGGATAGAGTAAAGCTTTATAAGGACATCTCGCCCAGTATCACTTTACTTTTCGCAGCTTCCCATTTTTTGTCGATCAAAGCTCAACTCTATCAATGTTGTGAGCCAAACCGTGCAATTCCCACTGAAGAACGTACTTTTTTTCTCTTTTTTCTTGCTTTAGTAAAATGAGCTAATAACATAATGTTTGATAGTTCATATTCAATAGACCTTCTGAAAGTAAGAAACTAACCAACCATCATCAACAAATATACAGCACCCTTCTCGATTGGCCATTTGATGAGGAATGGTGATTTGCGAAGATCCTCAGGAACCAACGTATTTCCGAATTTGGCTGTGATTCCATGCAACCAGTGAACCTGCCAACACTAGAAATTAGAAACGCTAGGAGGAGGGAAAAGTCGATGAGGTCGAGTGAAAGTTGTTTTCTGAAGATACGATTCTGAATAAACGATGTGAATTTTAAAGAGATTTTAAATCTCTCCTTTGAAAATTGCTGACTGCTAAGTAGAAGATTATAGGAATATATTTGTTTACGGTTAAGTGTGAAAATATGAAAGTATTCACAGTTTGCAAGTGCGCTCAAAATGTTACGTACTTACTTTTATCAGTATCCTTCACTTAGTTGTAGCCTAATACTCCGAAAGGTTTAGAATCATAGTTTTTATGACCACACAGTGGATCGAGTCAAAAAGATAGGTCGGACATAAAATTTTTGACTAAAGCTGCAAATTTTGATGTTTATTTCGTCACATTTGAAATTTTAAGAGGCGTGCCTCTAGATGAAAATTTCACGAGAAAACCAATGGAACCATTTTTAAAACCTCAAAATTGTGTATAAACGGAGTTAAAGCTTTTTAAGTTTCCAAATTTTGTCCGACCTATCCTATTGACTCGCGCGCTCCACTGTGAGCCACCTGAATCTTGCAATGCCTTAGCGGGTAAACTGAGGCATTGGTAAATTAATTATCGGTTGTGTAAGTGTTTTGCGTAGGATTTTCTATCCTACTAAGGTCATTAGTTTTCCATCAATGGCGTCTTTTGCGCGAAGTGAGGGCTCATTTCACTTCATATTTTTCAAACATTGATAGGTGATTTATTTTTTTCGCCGTCTCTGTACAACTAAATATTAATTATGAAAGGCGTGAAGCATGCTGAAGTCATAGAGTACAATAGAGTTGCAATATTGTGGAGCGCCGACCATAGGCGTAGCTAGGCCATTTTGCTGGGGGGGGCCTGGCCCCCCACCACCGGGGGGTCTGGGGGGTATGGAATACCCCCCAGGTCAGCGGGGGGTCCGGGGGGCCTCCCCCGGAAAATTTTTGAAATTTTAACTCTATTTGAGCGCATCTCGAGGCACCTGTGGCGTTAATCTTCCTTCAATTTCTGCATAAAATTCACCCCGTTTTATGCATTTTAAGGTTAAAATACTTTGAAATTGTTGCATTCAACAG